GAGGGAAACCTGCGATGGGGGGGACGGAAACCTACGATTGGTGGAATGGCCGCCGCTCTCTGTTTGAGCTGCTTCAGGTCCATGGGCTTCTGCAGTGGCGTGGAGATGACGCCGTCGTGGGAGGCGGTCTTGGGTGTAGTTCAGCAAGCTAGGCCGCGGAGACGTCATCCTACGCCGAGAAGAACAGAACGGAACGGAACAGTCGGGGGTGTTAATAACAGGTAATAAAGGTGTAATTACCTCTTAATGATGTTAACAACTGTGTCGGACGGGGGGAGAGTCCGTTGGTCTTGTTTTTAAGGCGGCGTATGCCGTTCTGTCAGGTATGGTAAACTGTCAGGTCAACTGTATCTTTTCGTTATTTCAACATTATTTCGATCCCTGACTTGAGTAGTACTACTGCAGTACCACAGTAGTACTGTAGTACTACTGCAGTACCACAGTACTACTACAGTACTACTGTAGTACTGTAGTACTACTGCAGTACTACTGTAGTATTTACTGTTGTTCTGGGTGATGATGATGGAGTTTATGAGTCTACTGACTGTAGTACTGTAGTACTACTGCAGTACATTAGTACTACTGCAGTACTCCAGCCAGTAACTTCATCATCATCCCCCAGAGCAACAGCAAATACTGCAGTATTACTGCAGTAGTACTATGGTACTGCAGTAGTATTGCTGTAGTACTATAGTACTGTACTACAGTACTATAGTACTACAGTCAGAAACTCAGTAACTCCATCATCATCACCCAGAACAACAGCAAATACCGCAGTAGTACTGCAGTAGGACTATGGTACTGCAGTAGTACTAATGTACTGCAGTAGTACTAATGTACTGCAGTAGTACTATGGTACTGCAGTAGTATTGCTGTAGTACTATAGTACTGTACTACAGTACTATAGTACTACAGCAATACTACTGCAGTACCATAGTCCTACTGCAGTACTACTGCAGTTTTACAGCCAGTAACTCCATCATCATCACCCAGAACAACAGGAAATACTGCAGTAGTACTAATGTACTGCAGTAGTACTATGGTACTGCAGTAGTATTGCTGTAGTACTATAGTACTGTACTACAGTACTATAGTACTACAGCAATACTACTGCAGTACCATAGTCCTACTGCAGTACTACTGCGGTATTTGCTGTTGTTCTGGGTGATGATGATGGAGTTTATGAGTCTACTGACTGTAGTACTGTAGTACTACTGCAGTAATACTGCAGTATTTGCTGTTGTTCGGGGTGATGATGATGGGGTTACTGCGTTACTGACTGTAGTACTATGGTACTGCAGTAATACTACCCTCGTATTATAGTACTGTACTACAGTACTATAGTACTACAGTAGTACTGTAGTCGTCCTGTGGTACTGCAGTAGTACTACCCTCGTATTATAGTACTGTACTACAGTACTATAGTACTACAGTCAGTAACCCCATCATCCTCACCCTGAACAACAGCAAATACTGCAGTAGTACTGCAGTAGTACTGCAGTAGGACTATGGTACTGCAGTAATACTATGGTACTGCAGTAATACTACCCTCGTATTATAGTACTGTACTACAGTACTATAGTACTACAGTAGTACTGTAGTAGTACTGTGGTACTGCAGTAGTACTATGGTACTGCAGTAGTACTAATGTACTGCAGTAGTACTAATGTACTGCAGTAGTACTACTGTAGTACTGTAGTACTACTGCAGTAATACTGCAGTATTTGCTGTTGCTCTGGGTGATGATGATGGGGTTACTGCGTTACTGACTGTAGTACTGTAGTACTACTGCAGTAATACTGCAGTATTTGCTGTTGTTCGGGGTGATGATGATGGGGTTACTGACTGTAGTACTATAGTACTGTACTACAGTACTATAGTACTACAGCAATACTACTGCAGTACCATAGTCCTACTGCAGTACTACTGTAGTATCAGAAAATACTACAGTAGTACTGCAGTAGTACTAATGTACTGCAGTAGTACTAATGTACTGCAGTAGTACTACAGTAGTACTACTGCAGTACTGCTGTAGTATTTACTGTTGTTCTGGGTGATGATGATGAAGTTACTGGCTGTAGTACTGCAGTAGTACTAATGTACTGCAGTAGTACTAATGTACTGCAGTAGTACTACTGTAGTACTACTGCAGTACATTAGTACTACTGCAGTACCACAGGACGACTACAGTACTACTGTAGTACTGTAGTACTACTGCAGTAATACTGCAGTATTTGCTGTTGGTCTGGGTGATGTTGATGGGGGTACTGCGTTACTGACTGTAGTACTGTAGTACTACTGCAGTACCATAGTCCTACTGCAGTACTACTGTAGTATCAGAAAATACTACAGTAGTACTGCAGTAATACTACCCTCGTATTATAGTACTGTACTACAGTACTATAGTACTACAGCAATACTACTGCAGTACCATAGTATTACTGCAGTACCATAGTATTACTGCAGTACTACTGTAGTATTTGCTGTTGTTCTGGGTGATGATGATGAAGTTACTGGCTGTAGTACTGCAGTAGTACTGGACCGTCGCCCCCCCTTGTGGTCACAGACAACACCGACAACATCGTCATAGCAACGTACGACACTCAATCCCGATCTCACCTGTTCTTCTCCGCGCTCTCCGGCTCCTCGACCTCGTCAGCGCTGCAGGTGGCGCTGGAGTCGCTGTCGCCGTGGGAGCCCGTCTTGGTCCCTTGCTCCTTCTTGGCGCCTTTGCCGGGCGCCTTCGCCTCCTCCGCTTCCGCCTGCGGCTGGTTCTTGCCCGGCGGCTCCGCCGCTTCCGTCTTGATCTCCTGCTTCACGACCGAGTCCGACTCTTCTTTGACGGACGCTCTTTCCTCGCCGGTCTGGCTCAGGTCCGACGCGGTCTCGTCCTTGTCCCGGGTCTCGGCGGCAGCGGCGGCGGCCGCCTTGGACTTGCCGGGGGTCTCCTCCTTCACCTTGCTGTCCTCGGAGGAGTGCGGGGAGGGCAGGCTCTCCGTGTCGGAGCTGTTGTTGGCGCCGGCTGTCACGGGGGGGGGTCAAAAGGTCAGGGGTTAAAAACGTTAAAACCTGGGATTACTGCGAAAAAAAAAAAACAAACTTTCGTTTTCCCGTCGTTTAACAACCCCGGTCGTTAAAATCCCGGAAAGTGTGTTTAATGGACGTGGCGGCGCTTGAGCACCCCCTAGTGGCGCGTTTGGGGACTGCGCTCTAGAGCAAATATTCGGGTTCAAGACCCCTCCAGAAGATACGACGATTCTTAGCCTTATATTTTACTAAATCTAAATTCAGAGCAGTTAAATGCCCCGCCCCCCCTCACCCCTCCAACC